AATTTTTAAATAGAGCCACATGTATAGGTAGTCCCCGACTTACATTTAATTCACTTAGCAACTGTTTGAAGGTATAACAACACTGAAAAAAAAAGGAACCTGTGGCTGTTTTTCGCACTCTATGACCATTACAGCATCCCCATGTTCATATGATTTACATTTGGCTGTTTCACAACTGACTCCCGTTTATGACGTTTGCAGTGTCTCGGAGTTGCGATTCCCCCATTTTGTGACCTTCTGATAGCCCAAGTCAATGGGGAAGCCGGATTCACTTAACAACACTCATTTAAAAACTGCAGCGATTCACTTAACAAATGCTGCGCCAAGAAAAGTCATAAAACAGGGCAAAACTCATTTAAGAAATTCGAGAGCCGAGTTCCACGTAATGGGTGAGCTCCCGTTATTTGCCTCAGCTCTTCTCTCCACCTAGCAGTTCGAAAGCATGCAAATGTGAGTGGATGAACAAGTACCACTTTGGTGGGAAAGTAACAGCATTCCATGTGCCTTTGGCGTATAGTCATGCTGGCCATATGACTACGGAAATTGTTTTCGGACAATGCTGCCTCTAAGCCAAAAAGGGGGATGAGTACCATCCCCCAGAGTCAGCCACGACTGGACAGAGTAAATCTTTAGCTTTACTTTATTACCAGAAACATGGAGACCCCTGTTTGAAGGGGCACCTGGAATCACCTGGAAATTCCAGGCAGCAGAATGCAAGTTTCTCACTAGCCTTGGTTGTTGTTTTTTTACCTTCCTTCCATTTTCTTACTGGCACATCCGTGACTTTCCATTCTGGGCTTTTTAATGAGGGATGCTTTCTCCTCTTGTCTTTTCGCAGCCCAAAGGCGCCGAGGCCAAACCCGGAAACAAAGGGAAGAAACTGCTGGGTCAGGGTCCCGTCCACATTACGGCAGGAAGTGACCCTGTCCCCATTGAAGAAGAGGAAGAGGATGAGTTAGACCATGCAACCTTCACCATTGTGAGTCTTCTCTAGGAACAGAATGGAGAAAAGTCAAAGAGGGCTAGTCATTGACCCTAGAAAATCTCCCTTTGACTCAGAGAGCAGCAGCTGTTTAGTTCCCAAATCAGCTTACCTCTTCTTTGTGAAGTTTCAGGGAAAGATGAAAGATACCTTTAACCAATCCCAAAAGATTTAAAAATAGGGAAGGGGGGGTGTCAAAGAAGGGAAAATTGAAAAAGCACAAGGAGAAAGGGGGCAGGGAAGGATACAAGAAAGGACTTCAGACTTTCTTCAGGTCAGAAACAAAGAAACAGGTAGACTTATGACCACAGTTGAGCTCAGAATTTATGTTTGGTAAGTGGGAACTTAGCTAAGTGAATTTTGCTCCCATTTTACGACCTTTCTTGCTATAGTTGTTAAGTGAATCACTGCAGTTGTTAAATTAGTAACATGGTTGTTAAGTGAATCTGGCTTCCCCTCAGACGGTCGCTAAAGGGGATTGCATGACCACAGGACACGGCTACCATCATAAACAGGAACCGGCTGCTAAGCATCCGAACGTAAATCACATGTCCGTGGGGATGCTGCAGAGGTCATAAGGGTGAAAAGAATGGTCACTTTGTTCAGTGCTGTTGTAACTTCGAATGGTCTCTAAATGAACTGTTGTAAGTCAAAGGCTACCTATATAATAAAATAATCTGTTATTCTGGTTCAAAGAAAAAGTATCATTCCTTCATCTTAATGAATTATCCTAAAGAAAGATGGGAAATCTCTCGCATAGTCTCCAAGATTTTATGGCTTCCCCAGACAAGCATTAAATCCCATCCTGAAATTTGGGGTAGCTTTAGCTTCCTTGGGGGCTGGATATCGTGTGGGCTCCAGATGTTTCTTTTGGGGCACTTCAGATTCCTTCACTTTCTTGCTTGCTTCCTCTTCTGAGTTAAGACAACTGACATGCTACCAAGCCAAACACTGGTCCCTGGCATATTTATCTCAGAAAATCATTTTTCCGCAAACCAGTTTATCTCTAAAACAGGAGAATCATAGATTTGCTGATCAAAAAGGGAGATTCTGTTTTGCAAGAAGGCTGAACCTTCCACTCAAAAGTTATCCTTTCTGTAGCATGGTGACTTGTCTTGTGAACAGGGAAGGCCTGTGGCTGGAGCCACAACAGATCCCCTCCCCAAAATTCAAATGGGCCCCTACCCTCAAACGGTTGCCTCAATCAGGGTCTCTCTGTCCTCCTCCTTCCTTCTTATGTGCGACTAATGTAGAGCTTTGCTTTTTCTGTCTCTCTAGTGCAAAGAGCTGATGAGGCCAGTTAAGAAGTCCTTGAAGCAGCTGGATAAGCCAGAAAGAGGACTTACAGACCACGACCAGCTGGAGCAAACACGGAGTTGCCTACTCAAGATCGGAGACCACATTGCTGAATGTTTGAAAATCCACACTGAACAGGAAGTCTTTAACGTATGGAGAAGGTGATTTGTCTGCCCACCAAATCGTCAATCTGTCCCTCTCCCCCCCTCCTCCCTCTCTCTCCAATTTATTTATATTTTTATAATTTTATTTATGGGGTGCTTTTCTTTAACATTCATGAGTGCTTAGTGAACAGTGTATTGTCTGGTTCAATCTACTTTATACACAATACTAATAATAAAACTGTTTAGGTATACATAATAATAATCCTTCAACTTCTAACATCTACATGTACATTGTAATTATAATTATTCTATTATATAGCAGTATGCCTAATAATATTTTCCCAATTTCTACTTTCTATGTCTTTTTTCTAACCCCTAATAAAGCAATTCCTATATTAAGAGGAATTTTGTATCTATCCATCATCTCTTGTTCTTTTTAGTATTTCATTTCTTACTAACTTTTTGACACATCTCCCATGCTCCTCCCTTGGGATCTTGTATCCCCCTTACATAACTCATAATTAGTCTAATTCTTTCATTTGCCTCCACAACTGTCTCTTGCTGTTAAATCTCTAGAGCACCTGTCAGTAACTCTTTCATTACTTCTGGGAGATCTTTCTCTCTATCCTTTTCTATATTTTGACTTCTTGATGAATAATCTTCCTATTCCATTTCAAGCATCTTTACTATCTCTTCCACATCTTTATCTACTTGTGTCATTTGATGATTTATCTCCTCTATTCTTTCCTCTGCTCCTTCTAATTTCTCCTCTATTTTCTGAATTTTTTGTTCATTATCATTTGCTTAGGGTTTTCTACTCTCACCTCTGGATCATGTATCAGGTCCATCATCTCCCTGTATCTCCTTGTCATAATCTCTCTCTCTCTTGTCCTGATGTTGCAGTCAGACTTGCAGGTCAGGACTCTTTTTGAGTTTGGAGGTATAGGGGAAGAAGAGACAGAACCTGGGGATGGAGTTAAAAGAGGAATCAGCCTAGAATCTCTACATAGCCACAAGCAAACTAAGCCCAACTCCCCTCGAATTCCTACTGAAATGTTACAAATGAGATGCAGTCTCCAATTGTTGAATTGTGTTGAATTCCCCTATATGGAAATACGTCAGAGTGTTAAAAACAAAATCCACATTTTAGTCCAAACTCCTAGAAAACCACGATACAAGCATTTGCAGTAGTCTGCAGTAAGAGAAGTAGCAGAATAAAACATCTCTCCATCACTGTTTGTTTGGGGCAACTCTTTCCTCTGGCATGAAAAGTTTGAACTTTTGGGCCAGGTCATAAAAAGAGAAAATTAAAATTATCTGTTCATCTCCTTTCAGGAATCTATGGGTATTTGTCTCCAAGTTTACTGAATTTAATGCCAAGAAATTACATAAGATATACAAGATGGCTAACAAAAAGCGATCCCGGGAACAGGAGGTAAGAACAGAGGTGTGTGTGTGTTTGTGTTGTGCAGTAGAATGCAAGCGATACAAATATAAATAAAGAGAAGGAAGGAATGGGAACATCTTGTGCAAAAGAAAACCTCAGGAACTAGAGGAATTCTGCTTGAGACTTTTCCGTGAACCTCCAGCTCCTTTTGGCTGGACTTGGCCCTTTATTAATCAATCAGAGTAGAGCTGGAAAGGGACCTTGGAGGTCTTCTAAACCAACCCCTTGCTCAAGCAGGAGACCCTATCCCATCTTGGACAAGTGGCTCTCCAGTCTCTATTGGTGGACTTGCATTGCTTTTTCTTCAAGTTGTCTGCCAAATGCAACTGTGGGGGGGTCCCCTGGGGTGCAAAAAGGGGCTGACCTAGCAAACCTTGATGATACATCTTTGGTCACAAATGAGGTATGGGGTAGAAAGACTTTCCCTTTTTTTTTCTTTTTTTGAAAATGTTATTGATTTTTTTTAAAAAAAACATAAACAAACAAAACATAGAACATAAAATCATAAAACATCTTTTTTGAAAGCAGCCTGATCCTGGGTTACATCTCTTCGTGCAGACTTCCGGTTTGCAGGGCTTCGGTGGCAGGCAGGAATCCGCGATCGTGTGCGGTTTCTGCCTGGGCTCGCCGCTGGAGCGTCCTGAGCCAGCTGGCTTCGGGGCTAAGCCACCCCGTAGAGGTGGTGAAGACGGGGGAGACCCAGCAGGATCGAGGGGAGCTGCACCTCTCCTCCCCAGCTGGCTAAACTCCCTTTCCCGAAGGTGGTAAGAGCGGTGGTCAGAAATGGCCGCCTCAAAGAAGCACTCAGCCAGAAAAGAAAGTGCAGGAGGAAGTTAAGAAGTGAAAGTTTTTGGCTGACCGGGACAAAAAGTAACAACCAAGGTACCCTGGAATTTAAATTTTACAAAAGATACATAGCTCCCAAAGAAGAGTCGGAAGCAGCGAACGAAAGTGAAAAGGGGAAGTTTTTTTTTTCACTCTCCTTCCTCATGCTGATAACGAGAAGATCTGAATAAAGAAATCAGAAAAATCCGCTTTGGCACCAATAGGTAATTAAACTGGAAATATAATTAAATGCCAAAGGGACAATAAAGATTTCTGAACACTAAAAAAATCTTTTTTTTGCTATAAGTGGGAAGGGAGAGGAAAAGAATAAGGGCAGGACTTGGAAGGAGGAGACTGCTTGGAATTCAAAAGAATTTAAAGTTAAATCTTAACAAGACTTCTAAAGGATACATTTTAACTGGAACTTTGCAACTAAATAGTAACCCCAAGAAGAGAAAGTGAAAAAAGAAGAAAGTGTTAAAAGAAATAGCTTGTGTGTATTTGGATTGCTTGGTGATTTTGGGACTTTTGGAAATCATATTTGAATGATTAAAAACAATTGGGTGGTCGTTTAAAAAAAACAACAACTCTACAAGGGCATCACCTCTGGATGAACTGGATGAACTGAAAATCGAATTTAAAAAATATAAAGAGGAACAAGAAGGGAAGGGATCCTTTGGCTCCATTTTTCAATTCTTAGAAATGGCGATTGGTGTCTACAAGAAACAACAAAAAAAGACTGCGCAACAAGAAGATTGGGACAAAGAAGAAGCCATTTTTAATGAACAAGTAATTCTATCTGGGGAAGAAAAGGGAAAGGGAGGAAAGAGAATGGAGAATTTAAGACCTAAAAAAACAGCCAAAAAAGGGAAAAATAATGTGAAAAGGGGATATAATGTTGGAAAGCAACAGAAAAGGGGAATACAGAAGAGGGAAATGGAGGTGGAGAGAAGGGTGTAAAAAGGGGAGAGAGAAGAAAGGGAAAAAGGAAGGGAAGAGAAGTTATAAAGGTTTGGAGCAAGATGTAAAGAAACAGGATTTATTCAGAGACAATGGGTGAAAATTTAACTGAAAAAGGGATTCTGTAAAGGTACATAAGATTGTATTGTTACATTTGTAATAGAAATAATGTTAGAAAATTGGAAATAACATGATTAAAAAGTGGAATAAAATAGTTAGTGTAATTTAGTGAAACTTTTGTAAACAAAATAAACGAAATGAAATAAATGAGAGATTTGAATTAGGAAGGAATGGGAACATTTTAACTACTCAACGTTTTATAAAATATAAGTGAAGTGGGAGGGAAGTAATTATGGAAAGTTTATAAGTGTTTCCATAGAAGTATGATACTTATTTGAAAAGTAATGTGTAAAATGTTTAAGATTTAAATGAATATTAATATTAATGATAGAATCGAATTGGTATGGATTGTTGTTTTAATTATGTTATATATTTATAATTTTTTTAAATACATTGTGTAGTTTTAGAATATACCAAGCAGAATCCGAATGGAAGTTATGTATTATATTAAGTGTTATAATTTTAGGGGAAAGATATAAAGGCGTCATACTCCAATCAATGATCACAGGAGAAATTTTCCTTAATGAGAAAAGATAATAGACAGCTGAAACAGGACAGACAAAGAATATAAGTATGATGATTTGAATTGAGATGAAATAAATAAAATTAAGAAAGTTGAAAGAGGGGAGAAGTTATATAGAAAATGTAGAATGGTAATAAGATATGGAATGGAATATAAAAATGAGCATGAATTTGACTTTCCCTTTTCTTTCTGTTTGTTTGTTTAATCCTTTCCTCTAGAAGAGGCCCTACAATATTCTCCAGCGACCTCCCTCCTCCCCAGACCCTGGTTAATAAGACCCAAATCATTATTACTGTTGGTCTTTTGAGTTCTCCGATGATGTTGTCTTTCTGCTCAGCAGGAACAAAAAAAGAAGGAAGAGGCAACGAGTGGCAAGCGGCTTCGTCCAGAAGCTCCTGGGACCAGTCGAGATATTCCGATGTCTCCTGTCCCCCATAGCCCTCATGGTCAAAAACTGCAGCAGCCATCTCCTCACCCTTCCCAGATGCATGGACATCCACGAGAGAACTACCACCAGCCAAATAGAAGGCATTTCAGCCACCCAGGTGAGAGATTACCAGGCCTGTCCCAGCTTGGGCATTTAGGAAGGAAACACTCTCGTCTCCATTTGCAGTCGAGTTGCATTTAGTAAAAGGTGTGCTTTTACTGGAGCCAAGTGGTTAGAGTATAAGCAAAGCTAGATCTGAGGATTCCTGCATAAGCCAGATAATTTTCCCTTTCTTCTCCCTGGTCATTTTTTTTTGGTGTCCAATGTGGGTTAAATTAGTTGTTTTGGTAACAATTCCCAAAGTTTGGTGGGCATTCGCATTCCTTTCTCATGTCGTGTCCTTGGATCGTTCAACCGTTGTCTCTGGTCAGCACTTCTGGTTCCTGTCATCCCCTTCCTATAAAAATAGAATAGAATTTTTTATTGGCCAAGTGTGGTTGGACACACAAGGAATTTGTCTTGGTGCAAATACTCTCTGTATACATAACAGAAAAGATACATTCATCAAGAGTCAAGAATCATAAGGTACAACACTAAATAATAGTCATAGGGTACAGTAAACAATCAAATCATACTAGGAAACAGTCAATATAAATCATAAGGATACAAGCGACAAAGTTACAGTCATACAGTCACAAGTGGGAGGAGATGGGTGAAAGGAAGGATAGAAGGATTAATAGTAATAGTAGTGCAGACTTTGTAATAGTTGAACAGTGTTGAGGGAATTGTTTGTTTAGCAGAGTTCGGGGGGAAAAACTGTCCTGGTGTCTAGTTGTTCTGGTGTGCAGTGTTCTGTAGCGTTGTTTTGAGGATAGGAGTTGAAACAATGTATGTCCGGGATGTGAGGGGCCTGTAAATATTTTCACAGCCCTCTTTTTGACTCATGCAGTATACAGGTCCTCGATTGAAGGCAGGTTGGTAGTAATTGTTTTTTCTGCAGTCCTAATTCCTCTCTGGAGTCTGTGTCTGTCCTGTTGGGTTGCAGAGCCAAACCAGACAGTTATAGAGGTGCAGATGACAGACTCAATAATTCCTCTCTATAACTGTCTCAGCAGCTTCTTGGGCAGTTTGAGCTTTCTGAGTTGGCACAGAAAGAACATTCTTTGTTGTGCTTTTTTGATGATGTTTTTGATGTTAAGTGTCCATTTTAGGTCTGGTGATATGATAGAACCTAGAAATTTTAAGGTCTCTACTGTTGATACTGTGTTGTCTAGTATTGTAAGAGGTAGTAGTATGGGAGGGTTTCTTCTGAAGTCTACCACCATTTCTACGGTTTTGAGTGTGTTCAGTTCCAGATTGTTCCGGTTACACCACGAGGCAAGTTGTATAACCTCCTGTCTGTATGCGGATTCGTCGTTGTCTCGAATGAGACCAATCACTGTTGTGTCATCAACAAACTTCAGTATTTTGACAGATGGATTGTTTTGAGATGCAGTCATTGGTATATAGGAAGAAGAGAAGTGGAGATAGCACACAGCCTTGGGGGGCCCCTGTGCTGATTGTACAGGTATTGGATGTGATTCTGCCTAGCTTCACCTGCTGCTTCCTGTCACTTAGGAAGTTTATGATCTACTTACAAGTATGTTCAGGTATCACTAGTTGGTTTAATTTACTTAGAAGAATGTCTGGAATGATGGTATTGAATGCTGAACTGAAGTCTACAAAGAGGACCCTTGCGTAGATTCAAGGTGTTGAAGGATGTAATGCAGAGCCATATTAACAGCATCATCTGTCGATCTATTTTCTCGGTATGCAAACTGCATGGGATCTAACAGCGGATCTGTGATGGTTTTCAAATGGGACAGCACAAGCCTTTCAAAGATTTTCGCAACTACAGATGTTAGAGCAACTGGTCTGTAGTCATTCAGTTCCTTGATGAAGGGCTTCTTTGGCACTGGGATGATAGTAGAGCATTTGAGGCAAGAAAGAACATAGTATATTTCTTATGATCTATTGAAGATTCGGGTGAAGATGGGGGCCAATTGCTCAGCACATACTTTTAAGCAAGAAGGAATTCTCTTATCTGGCCCTGGTGCTTTTCCTGGCTTTTGTCTGTGAAATAGATACTGCAATTCTTTTTCTATGATCACCAGAGGTTGTGAACCCAATGGGTTGGGGCCAGTTGTAGGAGGCTTGGCTGTTGTTTGTGTGTTTGAGATGGGAGTTGTGGAGATAGGTGGCTCTAGTTTCCTTTCAAACCTGCAGTAAAACACATTCAGGTCATCTGCTAGTTGTTGATTTCCTTCTGTGTGGGAAGAAGGTTTGCTGTAGCCAGTGATGTTTTTAAGAGTTTTCCACATGTTTGCTGGTTCATTTGTTGAGAACTGATTCCTTAACTTTTCAGAGTAGCTTCTTTTTGCTGCTCTGATCTCTCTTGTTAATATGTTTCTGGCCTGATTGTATAGCATTCTGTCACCTTTTCTGTAGACTTCCTCTTTGGAATGACATAGCTGCTTAAGTTTAGCTGTGAACCAAGGTTTATTGTTACTATATATTTGCAGGTTCCTTGTTGGTACACATAAGTCTTTGCAGAAGCTGACATATGATGTTACAGTATCTGTGAGCTCATCTAGGTCTGCAAAGGTATCTGCAAAAACATTCCAATCAGTGCAATCAAGGCAACCTGGAGCTTCAGCTTTGCCTCATCAGACCAAGTTCTCACTGATTTAATTGTTGGTTTCATGGTTTTAAGTCTTTGTCTGTAGGCAGGTACAAGGTGAATCATGCAGTGATCAGAGTCTCCCATGGTAAAGACCTATAAGCTCATGGTAAAGACCTATAAGCATCTTTTACTGTTGTGTAACAGTGGTCTAAAGTATTTTTGCCTCTGGTGGGACAATTTACATACTGGAAATATTTTGGAAGTTCTTTCCTTAAATTTGCTTGATTGAAATCTCCTAAAATGATGGGAAGGGAATCTGGGTGTTTGGCTTCAGCCTCCTAATTTGATCAGCAAGAGTTTGTAATGTCTTGTTTACACAAGCTTGTGGAGGAACATATACAGCTATTAGGAGAAATGAGGAGAAATGAGGAGAACTCACGTGGAGAATAAAATGGCTTGCAGTTGATATGCAAAGACTCTAAATTTTCATCACAGAATTTATATATTATAGTTATATCCTGAGACCAGCTGTTGTTGATATATAAACATAATCCTACACCCTTTGTTTTACCTGATGTCTCTTCAATTCTGTCTGATCTAAATGTCTGAAATCCTGGGATGTAAATGGTGTTGTCCCCATGAATTTGTGGATTAAGCCAGGTTTC